GCTGGAGCAAGATGGTATCTCATTGTTGTTTTGATTTGCATCTCTCTAATAGCTAATGATCGTGAGCATTTCTTCATATGTTTGTTGGCCGCTTTGATTCAAGGAATTTTAAATTTAAATTTTTTTTTCTTTTATGACTCATCATGAGCTCTGGTGGGGTAGTGCTTAAAGCACTTGACTGCTAACCAGAGGCTGGTGGTTCAAACCCACCAGCAACTCCTTGGAAGGAAGACTGGGCAATCTACTTCCATAGAGATACTGCCTCAGAAACCCAAGGAGGGGTCACTACGAATCGGAGACAACTCGATGGCACATAACAACAACTTGACCCAGTAGTTTTTAAGGAGGATGTTATTCAGTTTCCATGTGTTTGCTTTTTTTTTTCCTTGAGCTTCCTATTGTTGATTTCTAGTTTTACAGCATTGTGATCTGAGACAGCAGCTGCTCACCAGGCTTGGATCTTCCACGGTGATGCTGGGTGGGTTTGAACAGGCAACCTTTGGGTTACTAACTAAGCACAGACTGACTGAGCCACTGGGGCCTTTGTATATACATTTTGGTTATTAGATTCTTCTCAGATATGTTGTTTCCAAAGACAGTCTCCCAGTTGATAGCTTGTCTTTTCACTTTTTTGATAAACAACCTTTTTATTATTATTTTTATGAGGTCCCATTTATTTATTTTGTCTTTTGTTGTTTGTGCTTTGTGATTCTATAAACTAATTTATTGTTAAAAGCTAGGCCTGACACCATTGTTCTTCCTTTTTCTTTGAAGAAGTTTATGGTTTTATTTTTCACATTTAGGTCCTTAATCCACTTTGAATTTATTTTTGTGTAGGGTTTGAGGCATGGATCCTATTTCATTTTTCTGCATGTGGAAATCCAATTGTTTCTGCACCATTTATTAAAGAGAATCTTCTTTCCCTACTGAATGGACTTAGACTCTTTTGTCAAAAATCAGTTGACCATAGATGAGTGGCTTTATTTCTGGACTCTCAATTCTATCCCATTGGTCCATGTGTTTATTGTTGTACTAGCACTAGGCTGTTTTGATTACTGTAGCTGAATGTTGTTGTTGTTATGTGCTGTTGAGTTGGACTCGACTCATAGTGACCCCTCCTTGGGTTTCCGAGGCGGTATCACTACGGAAGTAGGATTGCCCAACCTTCCTTCCGAGGAGCGACTGGTGGGTTTGAACCACCAGCCTTTTGGTTAGCAGTCAAGTGCCTTAGGCACTATGCTACCAGAGCTCCTACTGTGGCTGTATAGTATGTTTTAAAATCAGAAAGTGTGAGTCCTCCTACTGTTGTGATCCTGATCAGAACAGTAGGTAGTGATTGCTGGGCACTATCTAGTTCTTCTAGTCTCAGGGTACCAAATAACCCAAACCCATTGCCATCGAGTCAATTCTGACTCATAGCAATCCTATGAGACAGAGTAGAACCATCTCAGAGGGTTTTCAAGGCTGTAATCTTTATGGAAGCAGACTGCTACATCTTTATCTCATGAAGGAGCTTGTGAATTCAACAGCTGGCCATTTGGTTAGCAGCCAGTTGCTTTAACCACTGTACCACCAGGGCTCCTACAGTCTCAGAGTGGATGAGTTTAATTCAATTTAGTTTGAACAAACCACACACATAAATGATCCATTTAAGTTCCCTTCTCTTTCCTCAGGAGCTCTGGTGGTATAGTGCCTAAGGCATTTGACTGCTAACCAGAAGGCTGGCAGTTCATACCCACCAGCCTCTCCTTGGAAGGAAGGTTGGGCAATCTACTTTTGTAGTGATACTGCTTCAGAAACCCAAGGAGGGGTCTCTATGAGTCGGATCTGACTCAATGACAGTGGGTTTGGTTTTTTTGGTTTCTGAGCTCTGGAGTCCCTAGATGATGCAATTGGTTAATGCACTTGCTAGATAACCAAAAGGTTGGAGGTTCCAATCCACTCAAAAACACCTCAGAAGAAAGACCTGGCAATCTACTTCCAAAAAATCAGCCACTGAAAATCCTATGGAGCATAGTTCTACTCTAACATACATGGGGTTGCCATAAGTTGGAATCAACTTGATGACAAATGGTTGGTTCTTGGTTTTCTCTATGCTCCAGCTAGTACCAGGCCTGTAATAGCTGCAGACCTACCTGATCATCATTCCTGTCCTCAAGAAACTTGATGCTGATGGGGGAGAAATGGAAACTCATATCACTGCAGCATAAAGTAGAAGGTGGAACATGCTCAAGTTGGTGTCACCAGAATGCTGTGGGAGTTCAGAGAGAACAGATCACTGCAGAGCTCAGATTATCAGAGTGACCTCCAGGGGAAAGAAAGACTAGGCTTGAGGGAGACAATATAAGTCTGGATGCAGGACCTCATCTTGCCAAATGGTGGACCAGGTCCACCCTGGCTTCCCTCCTCACTCCCTAAGCAGTCATCTCTCTGAGGGCCACTTATAGCCTGAGTCTGGAGTTCAAAGACACTTACACAGTCCTGCTCCTTTGAGGTGCTATCTGGGTGGCCTTCCTCTACTCTCTGCTCTCTCCCTATCATCTGGCTTCCAGTCACCGTATCAAGCTTCCTAAAGCTCTACATTGACCATATCACATCTCTGCTCAAAAATCAGCAGCTCCTAGTCACCAGAGAACAAAGTCCTAGCTCTCTAGCTTGCCTGTCAAGATTTATAGTCAGGCTCAAAATTCTTTTCCCACATCACCTCCCACTACTTCTCTCCAGTAGTGCTCTCTCTACTCCCAACCCTCCTCATACACTGTGGGTGGAATGTCCTTCCTCTTTCCTTTCCACATAACTCGTTGTTTTAAAACTTGAGCATGCCTCCGTCAACTGGAGGCTTGCTTAGATAGAGATGGCTAGACCCACCCCCAGTTTTTGGTTCCATAGGGCTGAGGTAGGGCTTGACAATTTGCATTTCTAATCCATTTCTAAGTAATGCTGCTAATGATTTCACACTTTGAGAATCACTGCTGTAACTCAATGCTGTCCATTCCTCAGGTTTATTCAGAGCCTTCCTGTACCACCAGCCCCAGCCTTGACTGTCTTCCAAGCCCACAGAAACCACTCCTTCATCTAAACTCTAAAGCTACATCTTTTTTCTTATCTCACTTAGGGGCCTTATAGGGTTGCTTTGATATTGAACAGGGAATTACCTTCTGCTTTTTCTCTCCCACATGTCCCATTCCTGAGAATTTTACCTCAGAACTATCCCTCAAATCACTTTCTTTTCTCATATTCCCACAGCTACTATCTAAGTTCAGGCCTCATCTTGTCTGACCTGGATTGCTGCACTCTTGCCTCCTCCAATTCACCTTTGTACAGCAGCTGGAGGGATCCATGTTGCAAATCTAATCATGACTTTTTCTACACAGAATCTTTTAATGGTTCCTTAATGCTCAAGACTAAGTCTTAGCATCTCAGCACAGGATGCAAGGACCTTCGTGTCCTGGCCTGGCTCTCTGGCCTCAGTTCCTACCAATTTACCCCCTTCTCCATGAATCCTTTTCTGATCCCAAGAAGTAGAGAACCCACTCCTGCCCAGGCAGGATATTTTGCAGAAATTACTGGTGGCACAGTGCCTAAGGCATTTGACTACCAACCGGAAGGCTGGCAGTTCAAACACACCAGCCACTCCTTGGAAGGAAGGTAGGACAATCTACTTCCGTAGTGATACTGCCTTGGAAACCCAAGGAGGGGTTACTGAGTCAGATCCCACTCAATGGCAGTGAGTTTGGTTTTTTTTTTTTTTTTTGGTATCTGCTTCTGGGTATGCATGTATAGTTCCCTGGATTGACTGTAAGGATTCTGAAGGCATGCATATCATCCTGTGTGCCCCAGGCCCAAGGTGTGCCTGCTGACTAACAATTGTTTCTCCCTCAGGCCCAGCCCTTTTTGTGGTTCAGGTCCCTGCCCACCTCAGCAAGGCCACAATGAACTGGAGAACCTCTTTAAGGCAACTACTCCTGATGCTGCAACTGGGTGAGTGCTGACTTAGGGTTGGGGAGCTGAGGACCTGGGAGGGGAAGCTGGTTGGGATGTGCAAGCATGGGAGAGGAGGGTAGAGTGGGATAGCATTGAGGCCTGACCCTTTCTTTTCCACCTAGTGTCGTTCCCGGCAGTTACTCAGGGAAAGGAGCTGGTACTGGGTGAGGCAGGCAAGAAGGTGGAGTTACCTTGCAAAGCTTCTCAGAAGAAGAACATGCTCTTCACCTGGAAACATTCTAATGAGACAAGGATTCTGAGAAACCAACTCTCCTTCTCCCTGTGTGTGCCAGGTAGGATTTCTTGCTTCCCTATCGAGGGAGAAAAATTGAATATTCTTGATGTCAGAGTCCTGCTTCTAGCAAACTCTAAAATCCCAAAAGGTTTACAGGGACTCAGAGGCACTCCTGCCCAGTATTTTCCAATGCCAGGTGCTATCTGGTCTTTCTCCAGTCTCTACTCTGGGTGTCCCGGGGGCATGCTTTTGGTGATGTATATTATTTTTAATGCTTTAATATTTATGAACTTATTTTAATGGGTATTAGAAAAATAACATTCATATAAAATTCATGATTTCATGAATATTACTGCTATAGACTCATGTAGATGATACTTTGTTTATTTTGATTAACAGGAACAGAATGTTTTTTGTTTGTTTGTTTTTAGCTTTTAAAGTGAAATCTCCAGATTTGAGACTTCAATACTTCTTAGAAACATTTTATACAGTAAAAAAGATTTTTGCCTCCCCCTGGAAAGTTTCTCCCTCATGTTGTCCTTCAAATAACTCTTCTTTCTTCTGTGTCTGGCTTCTAATATTCAACATATTCTTGAATAAGGGCTTCCTATGGAGCTCTGGTAGTGTAGTGTCTAAGGCACTTGACTGCTAACCAGAAGGCTGGCGGTTCAAACCCACCAGCCACTCCTCGGAAGGAAGGTTGGGCAATCCTACTTCCGTAGTGATACTGCCTCGGAAACCCAAGGAGGGGTCGCTATGAGTCAGGGCTGACTCGACGGCACATAACAACAACAACAACAACAACATGGGTCACAAGAAGGAGCTCTGGTAGGACAGTGCTTAACATATTTGACTGCTAACCAGAAGGCTGACAGTTCAAGCCCATCAGCTGCTCTGAGGAAAGAAGATGGGGCAATATACTTCCATAAAGACTTACCACCTTGGAAACCCAGTGAGGAAACCCAGTCAGAATTGACTCAATGGCAGTGAGTTTGGTTTTTGGTATGGGTCACAAGTAAGGAGCTCTGGTGGTTCAAACTCACCAGCTCCTCCGTGGGAGGAAAATGAGGCACTATACTTCAGTAAATATGTATAGCATTGAAAACTGTGATAGTTCAGTTTGTGTGTCCACTTGGCTGGCCCTGGTTGAATGGCTGGGAAGCTGGTGGTAGTTATTCCCCATGATGAGACTGGTAATTAACTCCATGGTGGATCTACCACAAGCAGCTGAGTGGTCTGCTTCCCGTATATAAGCTGGAGCCTTGGGAATGGTCTCTAGCCTAGGACATGCTTGGACCCTGCATGTAGCCATGTCGTTACTCAGCAGCCTGCTATGCTCTGCCAATCTTGGGACTTACAATGGACTTAAGTTAATGGCCTGCCCTGTGGTTTGGTAACATCGGGACCGTGCCTTACTTGTCAACTGTGGGCTTGGCAGCCTCAGCAGCCAGCAGCTGTGTGAGTGAAGAAAAGCCTCTAGCTTCAGTGGGCCAGGAGCTGGAGGCAGAGCTGAAGCCCAAGGTTGAGGGGCTTTCACACAGCCCCTAGAGTCTAGCATTTTGAACTTGGACTTAAAGCCTCCAAACTGTGAGAGAATAAACACCTGTTTGTTAAGGTCATCCCATTTGTGGTATATTCTCGTCAGAACAAAAACCCAAAAGGGGTTGCTATGAGTCACAGTTGACTCGATGGCAGTGGGTTTGGTTTGGTTTTGGTATGGGCCACAAGTAGGAAAATCTCAACAGCATAAAATGCATTTTTGTAAATTTAGTATATTTGTCATTATTTGCATTTCACTTCTTATTTTTAATATTTTATTTTTATTATGAAAATTTAAACATATATAAAAGAATAATTATATAATGAACCCCCATATACCCTATTCAGGTTCAACAATTCATGGCCAATTTTGTTTTATCTATATTCCCAAAGCTCCCCTCCCACTGTATTATTTTGGAGCAAATCCAGACATTGAACCATTCACTCTGTAAATGCTTCAGTGTATACATCCAGTCCTCACTTATTGACATGGTTAGACTAGGTTATTATGTGAAAATCGACATTTTGTGAAATGGAGGATGACTGCATCAGATCACAAAATGGAAGATGACCACATCATTACATAACTGTCAGATTACATCATTTTACATAACTGCCAAGCCACTGAGAATCATGGTCCAGCTAAGTTGACACATGATTTTAACCATCACAGCCAGTGTTTACTGTTGCCTAGCACCTCAGTGTTCACTACTCTCAGATGTATGTTGCACAAAATAGTCATGTAGTAGATTTTTTTACTATTGTCATAAATATGAAATGTTGGATAATGAGATAGTAAGTGAGGAGTAAGTGTATCTCTAAAATATTATGATTCTTTTAAAAACATCTACATTGCCATGATCAACCCTTAAAAATAAAAACCTAATTATTTAATTACAATAAATAATCAGTGTTCAAATTTCCCAAAATGGCTCATATTATTTTTACATTTGGCTTATTTGAATCAGAATAAAAATAAAAATTCATGAACTGTTTTGGTTGCATTGTATTGATCCCTTAAATCTCTGAATTTATACATTTCTCTCTCACTTTTTTTTTCCCCCTTGTAGTTGATTGATTGAAGAAACCAGGTAATTTTCCTATTAAGTTTTGCACATTCTGAATAGGAGCTAGCTATTCAATGGTGTCATTGACCATGCTCCTCTGTCTCCAGTAATTCCTATATACCTACTCCTCACTTATCCACTATCTTGTTATCTGATGGTTCATATTTATTGACAATAGTAAAAAATCTATTATCCAATTATTTTGTGCACTAACAATGTATGACAGATAATAACAAATGTTGAGGTGTGAGGTGAGAGTATGGCCGTGATGGTTAAAGTTATGTGTCAACTTAGTTGGACCATGATTCTCAGTAGTTTGCCACATATATATATATATATATATAATTATGTAATTTGGCAGTTATGTAATTATGTAATCATCCTCCATTTTATGATCTAATGTGATCATCCATTTTCATATAACACCAATTTTTGCATAACAATCTGGTCTTTGCAAGCTAACCATGTCAATAATTGAGGAGTTTGTGTAAATTGGTGGTTACATCCAGAAGCTTGATTAAGTTCACTTTCAATTTTTTGGCAAGAATACTTTGTGGGGGGGTGTTTTGCCCAGCAGTAACAGAATACTGCCCTCCTCCTGTCAATGGGAGCCAAGAAGGAACATGCACTTCTACCTCCACCTGGTAGTAATGAGGTTGCTCCCCTACTTCCCCTGCCATAGCAGAAAGTCAATTAAAATAAGTGGTTTAAATAAGATTCAGAGTCTCTTAACATTATACAAAAATCTCCAGGTTTCAGTAGAAAATTATGTATCATACTAAGAACCAGGAAGATCTCAAACTGAATGAAAAAAGATAATCAATAAATGCCAACACTAATGTAAAAATGGCAAAGCAGATACATCTCACCTCTAACTTCATGAGGGGAAGAGAGTATCACCATCAGTGTTAGCCCAATGCTGACTCCTTTGAAGCAGAGGTTAGACATACTTCCTCTCTCCAACCTTTTTTTTTTTTTTTTTACCAATTCTGACATCAGCTGTCCCTCAGATGACACATTCTACTTCTCTGTTGGGTTTGATAATTCATTGCCATGGCCACACAGAACTCATAGACAATACTCATGATTATAGGGCTTATTATAACCTCAGGTTATAATTCAGGATCAGGAAAGACTCAAGAGACAGTTCCTCAGTCAGGACAGCTTATTGGTCATGCCCACAGACAGGCCTGCCCCAGCCCTGAGCCTCTCAGCCGTTGGCCCCTTATACCCTCAGGCCTCTCAGACTGGCCTAACCTCTCAGACAAGGTTTACAAAGCTCTTTAGTCCAACAATAAGTGCTCAGGGCTCCATGGGTCAGCAAGCCTAGCTTTACCAAGTACCCAAAGGCACTGCACTGTAACTGCCTTGCTTCATGAGCCAGGAAGCCCACTGCATCTTGTGTTAGTTTCCTGGTTCAGCTGCCACCAATTCTCTGCTTCCGCTTCTCTGTGTCTTATGCCATCTCCAGTGTTACAACTCTTTCTCTCTGACTCCTGAGTCTAAGAGAATCTCAGCACAGGAATCCCAGCTGCAAAGGACATGCTCCACTCCTAGCTCTTCTTTCTTGGTGGTAGTGAGGTCCCCTCTTTTCACCTCTGGGATTGCTCATTTTTAGCCTAGTGGAACGGCAAAACTATTCAATTCCCTTGTTAGGGTTTCCTGTACCTCATTTGCATATTCCCATCCAATCATTTGGTGGGAGTTACAAGACCAGGGCAAGAAAGACTATATAAAAGTGATCCATCACACTGCAAGTAAGAAGAGATGTTAGAATTATCTGACAAATATTTAAAGCAGCCATGACAAAAATGCATCAATGAGCATTTATTAGGGAAGCAACAGGTTACAATTAAGGATCAAGATCAACAGGGTATAATTTGGGATTAGGATCAGGAAGCATGTAGGTAAAATCTCCCGTCTTTAGTACAGGACAGGTCTCTCACCTACTCTCGGCTGTGCAGGAATCCTCTTGGTGCTCTGAGGACAGGCTCCTCTCAGCACTCCTCTCTTGGCCCTTGGGCCTGCTCAGGCAAGTTACAAAACTCTTTTAGCTCTGCTACAAGTGCCCAGAAGCACCCAACTCCACCAGCAAGCCTCCTACCCAAAGGCACTCAGCTCTTTCGCACGTGGATTGGCATTCCCACTGTAGCTGCCTCACTTGGTGGACTGGGAAGCCCACCACAGCTATCTCATATCAGTCTCCTGGTTCTGCTTCTGCTGTTTCTCTTCTGCTGCTTCTTGCCATCTTGGTTCTTGTAATTTTACGCTGTCTCTGGTGTTATAGCTCTCTGTCTATTGGGTCTAGAAGGTTCTTAGCACAGGGACCTTAGGTCCAAATGACATGCTTCACTACCAGCTCTTTTTTCTTGATAGTAGTGAGGTCCCCCTTCTTCTCTGGCTCTCTTTTAAGCCTGCTGGGATGG